GAGTATTCCAGTGGATGCGATCTACAACCTCTGAATTTGCCTAGTAACGATGAATTCGTCGAGAAAATGGTAATATTTTATGAGAAATAGTCTGTATTTCTCATTTTTTTAATTCTTTTTCGTAAAACTAAAATTCATGCCAATATTTTTCCATGATTTATAATAATTGGAGTAATGCAAATACATATTTTCTAAAAAAAGTCATTTTTAGTGAAATTTTGCCGGGAATGGGGCTTTAACTTATTGTATTTGAACTGTAATAATGTGTTTTCCTGACACAATAGTTTGCACAGTATAAAGCTGGGCTCTCATTGCATTGCACAACTGTCGTATGTCATGGTGTTGCGTTCTCCATGGAATCGCGTCGGCCGACTACCACAGTGAGTACCCAGCTGAAGGTGTAAAGCACTCAGTGGTGGATCTAGGATTTAGCAATAAGTGGTGGATAATGCAAGGACCGAGGGATGCACTTGGGAGGGGGAGTGGTTTTGGGTGGGTATCCCTTCCCATTTGAGATTCCCACATGAAGCACACTCACAAGACAGTTCACGGTAACCGAAGGGGAGTGGCTAGCCACCTTGTTCACCTCCTTACATCCGCCACTGGTAGTGATGCTTTGAGTTTGTTAAAACATGGTGCTAAAAATATGTAAATATTTATTATTTATTATCTTCCTAATTAAAAAATGTTATGCTACATAAAGAGAGTATAATAAATAAATACTAAATTATTTAATTTTGTGGTGGGAAAAAGTATATAGACCTTGCTAACAATATTAATTTTACTTCAACATTGTAATAACATGGCAGTTTACTAGGTTATTTCCTTTCGTATCTATAAAGTTGTGTTTTCTGGGGCTTCCAACCTGCAGATTCAGGAACCTTTTTCTCTGGACCCCCACCAGTGCTTTGCCCCTTGACCTCTGCCCAAAATTGAGGTCCCATCAGTAGACACCTCCCCCATGAATGTCCCCTGCGAAATATGTACTGTGTGTGGCCAGAGATTTAGGGAGTAGTAATGGGTATGTTGAGTTTTATATAGTTTATTAAAGAAAAGAAATGTTTATACTGAATTTTTAGTTACTTAGAGATAGCCAAGATATATTTACTGGACCAGATGTATAGATTTTAATTTATTGTAGGCCTAATGTGTTAAAATGTTCGATTTTTAATCTGAATGTACTTGGTATTAATTTTATCAATGAAAGTGGATCCCAGTATTGTGCATATGTAGCAAATTCTACTAAGGTAGAACTTTTTTTATACCTTGTCAAGCGAACCCACCACTTGCCAAAAATGATGAATTCTAATAAAAATAGAGTTTCATTTTTGGCCAATTAGCACACCCGCTGCCACAAAAAACTTGAAAATTTCAGAAAAAATAAAGTTTTTCTTTCTTTTTATTACACCCGCCGCTGCTTTGAAATCTCTGAAAATAAGATATGTATTTTTCTTTATAATTTTATAAATTTAAAGAATTTAACCATCCCATTACTACATGGTTTACTTTCAACAATAACATTTTATTATTATTTTCTCCTCCATCTGGATGTTTTTTGGCAAACACCATTTGCTAAATAAGAAAGCAAAATTTTATTTTTATTTTTTTCCGCCCTCCTCTGACAATCTTTAAAAAAATCAGTTTGCAAAACAGGGAATAAAAAATCTAGTCTAATCCGTCAGCCTATAACCCTTTCTGGAACTCCAGTCGGATCAGTGAAAGGAATATGTGCATGTTGTCCCTCAAACGTTGTTGTTTTGTCGGACCTAGCAACAACCTCCGAGGGACGGGGCTTAGCAGAAATGTCCATCCTCCTGAGTATTAATTGTAGTGATCATTCTACAGTAAACGTACATAGGTACTGTATTTCGCACAGTATCCATCCTATAGGCCTTGTTCTATTTTAATATGCAATTCTGTATTCAATAACTTTTCAAAATTTGATTCTCATTCAACTGCAAATGGCCCGCCACTTATATGATAGAGTAAACTCTGCAAGGTGTGTAGAGTGGAGTTGTTTTTAAGGTTTGTCGACATAATCAAGTATTCTGTGATAAATGTTGTACTTAAACCTGGACAATTATTTCTGAAGATTTATGTTGAGATTTCCAATGCTGTATTATTTATTTTTCATCTTAAAAATGTGGACTGTTTGTGAATTAAAATAAATTCATAATTACATTAATTGCAATTTGTCACATTGATTTTGTTCTTAAAATCCAGTTAATGTTAATACTGTAGTTAATAGTTGTGTTTGTGTGATGATTCAACTGTACAGTAAAATGAAATAAAGAAATGATTTCTGGGGTTTCCAATTGGTACAGGTGTACACAAATGTGGTAAAACCAAAAAAAAAAAAAAAACACTTAAAAATTCTTTCAAAATGTTTAATAGGATCAAATAAATTATCAACTTCCAATGCGACACACATTGAAAACAATTTTCAAAAATTCTTTTTACAGAAATCCTCAAATTGAATACTAGTCAATATTCAAAGCTTATTTTAAAAATACAGGAATGCTATTTATTTATTTAATACCATATTTCAAGAGGGTGACCCATCCAGCATTGCTGCTCATTAGGGGCCCTCAAATAATACATGCGGTACAAAACAAGAATCACTTAATTGCAAATTTATTTATTTTTTATCATTATTAGTCGTTAATCAGAATATATCAAATTAAAGTAACTTGAATAAAAAAAATGTAATAGTAATGACGAGTATCTATGTATGCATTTGAACGCGTTCTGGGTTTTCTTTTGAGCAGAACCAGCAAAGGGTCCAAGGAGCCACAAAAACCAAATCGGGGAAGAAGCCAAAAATGTCAGGGAACCGCGTTCATTGTCACAATGTTGATTATCCATGAAGCTATCCAAAAATAAAAACAAATTGAATTAAATATTTTGATAAATAATTTTCTCATTATAAATAAAGACAACGAAATTCCTAAAAAATATATATGTATATTAACTACCAAAAAGTCAAAAGAAAAGAAGATTGTTATTTTTAATGTAGGCCTATTTAATCTTGAATGTTTCTTAATTCATTTTTTAAATACAAAAGAATTTGTTTCTGTATTAGTTTCAACAAAGAAGTTTCTGTAATATGGAAGAATTTTTTTTTTGTTCTTGTTTTCAAAATATCTATCTACTTTTAAATTTTGATTTTTAATTGTGTATAGAAGATGAATATGCATGTTTTTTTTGTACGCAAGATTGTCTTTTAGTCGGGTTAACTCACTGAAATCTAAAAAAAAAAAGAAACTGCTATCAAAAAACTCCAAATATTAAGTTAGTTCTGGCTATCTGCAAAAGCCTGGGAAGATTTTTAAATTTAGTAGACTCAAAATCGAGGTGGTTTGAGGCTTTACTTTACAGAATATAGCACTGTTACGGTAGCTACTTGCCACCTGCTAATTTTCCCCACTGATTTTTTTTTCTACCTGGAGAGTTATTCCCGGCCCAGGCTATTTCCCCCCCCCCCATTTTTTCGATGCATTGTTCCTCTTAGTTTTCCTATAGATTTTTTTCCATCAGGTTATTTTTATTATACTTTATAAGAGAGAACATATTTTTTTTTTATTTTGTGTTTTCTCTATATCAATTAATTATTATCTAGTCATTGTAAGGTTACACTAAAAAGGTGTGCCGATGATACAAAAGCGTTATTCAATCAATTGACTGATTGCCTATTGATGCATTCGCAATACCGTATTGATGAAGCCTAAATACACATTGTAGAAACGTTTTGAAAGTTTAAATCCGGTTTTACATGAGAAATACAGGAAAGAAAACAGGATATCTTTATAACATGTTTCCTCTTTTGGAATTTCGATATCACACCTTTTTCCTAGTCGTTCTATATACCCATATTTCATCCACAAAAAACTGTACTTCTACAGTACTTCGGAGGTCAATGCCCATTAGTGATTCTCTTCTACGATACGCCTACTACTGAAAGGTCTACTGAAATTAATTATGTCATCATACGCCTACTTTTATTTCAAATTGTGTGTTACGGTTGATGGTAGCAAATACGCCTATATCATTAAATATATTTCATTTAATTAATGCTATTTAA